AACAGGAGAAAAATAAATCTAAGCTCCATTTTCTGTAGCCGCTTTAACTGAGAATATATTCTGTTTATATGAACGAATATATTCTGAACATATAAACGAACATGTAAGGCGTTCTGTAATCTTTGTTTCTTTCTTTTATGGTATTTGTCTTGAACAATATCATTTGAAAAGTTCCTATCAGCTAATTCGATAAAATGATTTGACAGGTCAAAATTTTATTTAGTGTGATAATTTTTATTTATTTATCCGTGAATATATGGACAGTAGCTCCAATCTACTAACATATAGGAATTCGTTTCAAAATTATCGAAATTAACAAAGGTACTTACTGGGAATGAGGAATTATTTTCCCTCGTGTTAATCATTAGTTTTGATGAATAATTCTCTGTAATATTTTGTCATGAGTTCCATTTTTCACAAATTCTTCACCTCTTCTTTTGTACATTAAATGCGTTCTTATTTCTACATTCAGAAATTTTATGTTTAAACTTGATTCAATGACGGCTGATAATTTCTGTAAACGCGCATTTGAGAAAAATTGTATCTTCCATAATTGAAATTTTCCTTCATCCCCATTGAAATATTGACTCAATTTCATATCCTGGTTGTGGAAGCATTCTAATTGGTCGATCTAACTATTTTTAGAGATGGGAAAATTTTGATTTTCTTGTTGTTTATTCCTTTTATTACATCTTGGTTGTGAAAGCTTTATAATTGATTGGTCGAACTATGGCTTTGTCTGGCGATTTTTATTATCCGTTTATTTTTAAAGATTGTAAAATTTTGATCTCTTTTACTTATTTATTTCGCTATCACCACGATTTTCAGATCATCAGCTGTTTCTCGTTCATGTTGGTCATAACATGTACAAGCGTAGCTTTCAACGAGTCCTTGATACTGTGAAACCACTGTTTTTTCTCTCTCTCTCTTTTTCTTTTTCACTGTCTGCCCGTTTTTTTTCTCTCTCTGTCCGTCCATTTTTCTCTCCCCCCACTCTCTCTCTAACACACACACATATATATATATATATATATATATATATATATATATATATATATATACTTTGTTTTACTCATTTTGGCAAAGTGTTTTTAATTATATCATTTACTTATATTAAACGCTTTTCACCCAATCGTTATATTTGTTTGGTCTACCTTTGATGTTATCACCTGTCATAAGTAAATGCATTCTTGGACTCCCAATGACGCATCTATTTTTGTTTTTGTTTTTTCAACATGGCTTTTACTTTATTTCTGTTCATTTTAAAGTCTACATTTCGATATATAACATATATATATATCTTTCTCTCTATCTATCATAAACTAAGCGAAAGGAAAAGAATAAAAACAGACGCTATCTATACGAATCCTGCAAACAAAAAATAGGCAGCTACCTTAACTAAAGCCAACAGTGCTCAATGTATATAATATAGAGGAACCCGAAATGGAGAAAACAAAAGAATTGTAACGATAACCAGGAAAATGATTAGATACGCTGAACTAAACAGTAATGCCAACTACGATCATCAGACGATCTGACCGCGGTGTTTGTAGACACCAATTTATCGTTGTTATCTTTGATGTACGAAAAAAAAAACTGATACTGTAATAAAGAGGCGAAGATTATATAGGTGAAGGTGAAATGACGACATTTTACTTTTAATCTACCATAATGAACGCGAAATACTCTGCTTTATTTCATTTCGAAAAATCATTTCCTTAAATATAAATTCGCCCGAAGAAAATAGTTATGTATTTTTCCTGAAACAAGTTACGACAGGGATACAATCTTTTTTTTTTTTTTTTTTTTTTTTCTTTTACTTTCAAATAAACTCGTCTTAAAGTTTGTTTATTTTCATTTTAGAGCTTCTTGTAGAACGATGAAACCCAAACCAATGTAGGCGTATCAAGAAAAAAAATCAGACTCTACTTCACAGAACGAAGAGAAGATTTAGTATTGAAGTATCTTACTTTAAAGAAATCTCACGTTAAAATCAACTGTAGAATAATTCTGAGCTTTTTTTTTTTTTTTTTTTTTTCAATGAATAATATTTTCTGCATCAGCACAAAAACGAATAAAAAAGGAAAACATGAAAATGACTGATTCCCCCCCCCACCTCTACCTCCAAGTTATTATCTAAAGTAAGAAATGACAATTATCGTCTTTTTATCGAGAAGTTATTAAACTTTCATATTTGAAGAGTGGAGGGAGCCTATTTTGAGTTAAATCGATTTTAAGTTGATTAAGACTTTGAGATCTGAATCCCTATAATGTAAATCTCTTTTTCGAACTCAAGTAAAATTTCTTAAATTGCTTCCATTATTAAAAAAAGAAAACACCCCAAAATTGTTTATTTCGCCGATTCTGACATCTTACTTTCACTGAACGGCAATGATCTAACGACTGTAAGTTCTCCATCAGTTTTAAGTGGCAGTTCATCTCAATAGGAAAAGAGTGTAGGAAATTCGGTCGTCTAGGTTTTTTATATTAAAAATCCGAATGTCCGAATTGCAAACACTAATAAAATAGAGAAAACATAGTTATGCCTGTTAAATAATAAAAATAGTCTTTAGTTGAGTTAGTCTTTTGGTAAATATCCACAGAAAAAAAAAAACTTTGATTGTCAGCGAAGATTCACTGACCTTCTTTGCTGCTTTGGAGTTGATTCAGTTGAAGTCGCTGGCTTAGATGTGGCACAAGGCAGAAAATGTGGAGCACCTAATGAGTATCGAACTCACTACTCGGTTGTAACTGATCTAGCAAAACAAAGTTAATAACCATTACATCATGTCGTGGTGTCCATTTTAATATGGCATGTATGTAATTGTGTTGGAAATAGCGTTTCTTTCCTTTAAGAGTTCACTAGAACGAGTCTGCCTGGAAGTATTATCCAGTCGATCCAGAAAAGAATTACCTACATTTTTAGATTAATAACAAAGAAACACGAGAGTTGATATTTCAATTTTAAATCTTAACTCGTTTTATCCTACTTTCGTTCGATTAGCGGGGTCATTTTTTTCTATTGACCAGAAATACATCCCAATAAAAGACAATTGCTCTATAAGCTGTTATTTTATGCGCTGTGTCCCTTTAAGACTTTAGCAATCATGGCTCTTAATAATTTCCTGTTATTTGTAGCTCTTCGTAAATTTTGTCATCTCTTCTAAGCCTTGCTCCTCCATCCATTTACTCAAACTCATTAGTCAAGTTATACTCTGATTTCCTCTGTCGCTCTTGCCTTCAATATGTCTTGTGAGTGTCAAATTTTCCAAGCCTTTCCTCATGTGCCCTAGAAATTTCAACTTTCTCTTTCTGGTGTTAAGCATAACTATCCTTTTTTGTTTCCTTTTTCTCTAAAACTTCCTCATTGTTCGCATGTTCAATCCATGGTATTCTCATTATCCTTCTATAAAACCACATTTTTGTTGCTTCAAGTCTCTTCTTCATCTGCGAAGAGATTGTGCAGCATATACTGTCATATAAGAGAACCGACATTACATACCAGTTAAGTAATCTTTTCTCTGTTGCTAACGAACTTTTCTTGTTTCTTAATAGTAAAATGAAATATCATTTTATCATTTTATTTAAAGGTACATGTAGTGGATAACTGAATTCGAAACCTTGTTGTGTGATGACCAGTTGTGGAAGAGGGAAAGTATTTAGTGATGTGCATTTATAGAAAATGTAGTTTTTAGTATCGAGCTGGTTGCCAGTTTGTTGTAGCGTTAATTGTTGAAGAAATATTTTCGTGTGTTGCATGCGACACGTTGTTCGCAAGAGGCTAAAAAGTCCTACGGTGGGGAAACATGACACGTCTGGTTCGTTTAACATCCCGCGGGGAGAGAAAATGTGTCCTTTACTTTTTATACTACTTCTAGGCAACGCCATTTTGCGGACTTTACAAGAAATGACCGTAATCTCACTATCTCTTCCTTTTCAAGGATGAAGGTAATCCACGCCAAAAAGACATATGAGGATATAAGATTTTAAATATGTACTTAGTATAAAACCTTTTAGATTAGAAAAACAATAATGCCGCCTTGTATGACCAGAAGAAAAATTCCGCGAAAAACATCTTACTTATTATAAAACCCAGGTTGTGTGTGTGTGTCTGTGTCTGTGTGTCTGTACGTTTATATATTGGATCGGATTTCCTACATTTTTCAACCGATTTCAGCAAAACTTCACAGGACTACGTAAAATTACCTTGCGGTGGTTCTGACAGCGCCAAAAATTGGAAAAACACAATTGTTTTTGCACAAAATCAATTTGTAAACACCATTAAGAGGCATCGCTTTCGCGGAATGAAAGGGGGGCAACTCATATCGAGTTTTACTTATTATAAAACCTAGGTTGTGTGTGTGTGTGTGTGTTCGTTTATATATGGGATCTGATTTCCTTAATTTTTCAACTGATTTCAACAAAACTTCACTTTTTTTTGGCAGGTAGTGTTTCTTATTGTCTTGCACTTTTTTCTTTATTTTTACATTCAGAATGCTTTAAAAATTCCATTTACAAGACAATTGTTTATAATAAAATTCTATTCAATCGGTAGACTCATAACGATTGAAAACAATGTTTTTGTTTGGGTTTGACCAATTCTTAAAAAAAAAAAAAACACTAATTAAGACATGCGTGTCCGTCAACCTTAAACAATAATCTTTGTCAATTTTATTTTTCAGTCTTTATGATGATCGATACTTGATCTATCTCTTATTGTTACATCCCCGGGCAACGCCGGGCTCTACTGCTAGTTTGTTATAAAAATGACAAATGCCAGTCGAAATTAAGACAACTGAAAATGACTGAAGCGTATGGCAACAAAATTCTCCGAGCGACAGAAGAGCAAGTGTTGACCATTTACATCACGGTGAGGCGTTATAAAGCTCAGTTTTGGCGCGCGCGCGCACACACACACACACACAATTATGTGGCGTCCAGTGAATATCGAAATCAGTACATAATAATGATCAGCCCGACGAATTGGAAGTATTATTAAAATGGCTTCCCTTCCCACGATACAAAGCGAAATAACGGACGGAGTAGGAATATTGCGTTGCTTAAGCATTTCAAAATTAGTTTCTCTTTTTTTCTTACCGGGTTCGAACGCGCAACTGCCACAGCTACGAAGCCGGTCTCAGCTTAATCAAGTACAAAGTCACGATTATAGAGCGTTATTTGGAAATCGAACAAAAGAGCAGTAATTATCTGCTAAACAAACACATTGACCATTACTTTCTGGCGAAGTGCCCTACTTAAACACTTGTTAACTATTGTCATACATCAGGTGCCTAATAGGGATTACGATAAGAAGACATGAGGTCAAGTAACCAAACTTCCGACAGTCCAGTGATAGATTCCCCAGAGCTTTCATCGGCGGCATCAGAATTCGATTACCTGGCAAATTTTCAAACTTTATTTTTCTATCTGTGTAGACAGAGAAAATTGAAACTAAAAATAAATCGTCTAACATCGTAAAAAGTTAAATTTGAAAATTTTTACTCAGGAAATCGTGAACGTTATGTTTGCTTCAACCCAAAGTTAAGTGCTAAAAATTAAGACAAAAGCGTTCAATAGCATTTGCATCTCGATAGCAGCTGTTACGCAACGTGATGCGACTTTTGAAGGTATTCGGGTTGGGTATATCTATTCAGGTCGGTTCTAAGACTGATCGCAAATGTGTGTTGGGTACAGCTGCAGGGAATTCCGTGGCGTCTGCAACATTTTCCTTAGCTGTTCAATGGAGTTTTAAATCGGATAAATGCAGTAGCTGAAGTCGGCAAAATGCTCATGAATCGATTTTGGGTCACCTGCACACAATATGGGGGCTGCTTTATCTCGGAGAAACAAACAATCACCACCGAGAAATATTGCTAGCTTAAAGGGGTGCAAATGACCAGTAGCAAGATCTGTGTATGTCACACAAGGAAAAGCAGATTTCATTTTCCCTTGTAGTCCTTGCGAACTCTAAGAAAACACACCTTACAACTCTAAACACTCTGCTAACAGGCTGGTTTCATAGCCTCATTCGATTTCCTCCACACGCGATCTCTATCGTCTGTCTGAATGAACTGCAAATGTAACTCTTCTGACAAGGTAACAAGGAGTCAGAGTGCAATGGTAATACTCTCCGTTCTAATTGAAGAAAAATAACCGATGCTGTAATGTCAATAATATCCCGAAGTAGTTGTCACCTCAAGTTTCTGCTTGCAACAACCATATCGTAGTCATTGTTATCTCTGGTTATCGTCCCATGGCCGCCACAGCTAAATTGTGATAGCTACACTACCTCTTTGCCTACTATATTATACATAAATCATTCAGATGTGTTCATTTCTACAAGTGATGTAGGCTGAAATTATCCAGTGTTTTGCTGTCCATAATTTGTGGCGTTTCAGTTTTTCGAATTAAGGCTTAGCTAGATTGTTATATCGTTTCGGCCGAGTACACTCCGGCTTTCATATAAAGAAAATTTGTCAAATCATGGGTGTCGTTATTCCAGTAGGCTACATCGTCAAAATGAAAAAAAAAAGGACTAGGGAAAATATCTGAACTTAGATAGGAAACTAGGACATAAAAATGACAGTTGTCCCCTCCCTAATCATTACTGGTTTCTTTTGAAGAATTCCAACAAGGCCTGCAAAAATCGGAAGAATTAGAAACTCGAGGAGGTCTGAAAACCATCCTAAAAACTGTATTATTCAATATCAGCAAAGCTAAGAGTCCAGCAATGCTAAAAAGACTGAAAAGGACACAGCATTTTTATTTTTTTGCATGCGTATGGGAAAGGTTTTATTATTCACAACTCTGTCAGACAACTCAAATGGAACTCACAATTGTATTACTATGATGAATTCGGGTGACAAATCGGAAGTAAAATACCTATATTATGTGGTTTTCTCAGATTTTATAAGTATATGGGGGAGTTGACAATCACTTAATTCTGACTTCAGTTAAATTACCTTCCACCAACAAAATTATAACCATTGTCAAAATTGAGTGAAAACAAAAAGTTGAAAGCAAATTTAAACAATGCATGGACAAAAGAATGAGAAGACTGTTTCAGTAGCAACTGAAATAATTATTTTTAACAAACGATACAAATTCTTCGTCTTTTGAAGATGGCATGAAGTGAAATGGATATTATTGAAGAATTTGTCATACGAACGCTGTGAGTGTATGTCTGTGAGGATAGCTTGCAACGTGGACAGCTGACTCTCTTTAACTAGACAGCTGTGTTTGTGCATACACGTGGGCGTATCTATGGCTAGGAGAGACAAACGGACCCTACTCCGGTTCTACTGGTGGACAGTGTTCCTTGCATAAAGATAAGCTGGGTTTTTTTTTTAAATTTTTTTGTTTAACAAAAGAATAGTTCTGATTAGTTCATACATCTAAGAAAGGCGTTTCTTGTCGAACTTTAGCAGCTTATCAGGATGGATCATTTGAATTCCGAATTAGAAACTTATTTCTTATTCGCTCTAAAACAATTGTTTATTACAATTTGAATTTACTTCAAGTTACAAGAACAAACTTTTTATTTAGACAGGAAAATCGTTTTTAGGTTTCCAGTTGAATTTTTGGCCACCACCCTAAAACTGTCATGTCAGCCAATAACTGAATCCCCATTAGTGTATTGTCTAAAAGATTACATTTTACTTGACATAAGTCTCTTTGTTTAATTTCTCGATTAAGATTCGTAAAGTTCAATCTAGAATACAAACTGACTACAAAAACATTACCTCCCTCTGTAGGTAAGGTCGCATATTAAGTATTTCTTGATGTTTACGATTAATACTGAAGGTGTGGAATGAGATATTGGATCTTTTCTGGTAATTCATCCCAAATAATGCAAAGTTACTTATCGCGAATATTACCGTAATTTCTCGAAAATAATACGCCCCAAGAAATGATCCCAAAATTAATAAATATATCTATCCCTAGGTATAATACGCATCTATAAATTTTGTCAAAAACATAATTACGAAGTCATTTTGTCGACTTTGACATTAAGAATAAAATCGAAAACAATGTTGAAAATTAACATGCGGTTTTCCCGATAAATATAACATTTTATTTTACCGCCAAAATGTCGTCAAAACGTGCGAGTTATAGTGCAAATTTTAAACAAAAAGTAAAAGAATTATCAGAAAGAATACGAAACAGAGCTGCATCTAGAGAATATGACTTGAATGAGGCTAACATACGTTTATGGAGAAAGAAGAAAATGAACTAAAAATGTAAACCAAGTGTCAAATCTATTGGTAGAGGAAGAAAAGCTCAATATCCAGATATGGAACAAAATTTAGTTGAATTTGTGAAAGAAAGACGACCAAGTGGATCTTCCATAATTGTGGAAATAAGGATGAAAGCAAAAGAACTTATGAAAACAAAAAGATATATATTTGTTTAAACCTATTTATAATACGCATCCCTACTATCACCTGTAATTTACAGCAAAATAATGCGTCGTAATGTTATCGAGAAATTACGATAATTCACCCCAAGAAATAATAAATTTTAAATCAAAGAATTTGGATTATTTATTAAATTTTTAGCACTCTTTTGAAATTATAAATTTTAAATCAAAATTTGTTTAGCTTGCCATGGCGTTGCTGGAGTCCATACAAGAATGCAGCGACAAAGAATGACGTTTTCGCTTCTTACAAAGAGTAAATATTCTTCCCACGTTGTTGAAATGCTCTAAAGAACATGATGAATTTCAGCTTAACAGATCGATAGGATAGATGGCGCTGTCGTCTCGGTGAATGCCATGAAGAGAAGCTGCTAAGTAAAGGAAATTGTCTCCAAGAGTCACGATTTCTCTACCATAAAATCATGTTATTTATTTATTTCATGACAAAATATAACAATGAATGCATTTTTTTGAACAAATTTTAAAGGACATTTCTGAATTTTGGTGTAAATATAAATTCTTTTTATTTTGAAGCGAATTAACAGGAAAAAAATCTGATATTTGTTATACTCACGTTAAAAAAAAGTGTCATATTCCTTAATAATAGAAAATAGATGAATGGCTTCAATTTTGTTATTTATTCCTGTTAGATATAAACATTTTTTGCAAGCCAGACATTTTTTAAATATATAACTCTAGGTTTATAATACTCAGCATGACCTCTTTTCAGTAGTTGTCATCGGCCAATGATATGCAATCAAGCAAAAACAGACTGGCGGTAAATGTGGAGGAAATGCGTTACAGGTAATGAAGCTATGTTGAATAGACCCCCAACTTACCACTTGCTGTTTCCGCCATCTTGCTCAAGGGAGAGAACCCACCTCACCACACGTCAAGCACAAACGGCATGTAGTTATTTTGAAAAGTCGACAAGCCAAAACAACTCAGCACGATCACTTCACGCGAAATTTACCCTCAGGCTGAGTTCTCTTTAATGCCGAAATAAGTTCTGTAAATCAAGTGTGTGTGGGGGGCATGTCTTTTGTTTCTTAAACATGTTTTGAGCAACTTGGGTATCACAAAAAAAGAAACGGTTTGACAGAACCAAATAGGATTCGCGAAAAGAATGCACTTTATTCACAAACACAGGTACGTCTTTCTTAAACCAACGACACTGTCTTAATTCATAAAGATTCTTGTAATTTTTTCCTTCATAGATGAATTTTAGTACAAAACGTGTATGAATGTTTTCGATTTTTTTTTTTTTTTAACGCGTCTAAAATAAAGTTTGTTGAAAATTTAAAGATTATATTCATATAATAATGACAAAATATACACAGTAAAAGTAAAGTACAGTGTAACCCGGATATAAGATAGATTTTCTCTGGTCCCAAATTAGAAACAAAATAGACCAAACCCGGATATAAGAGACTTCTTCTCCGGTCCCGACAACTCTCTTATATCCGGGTTACACTGTAGCGTGATTTTTCTTAGGGAAATACCGTTAAAGCAATTTACAGTTTAAGTTAAATTTAATACTAATGTGGGTGAAGGGAGACTAATGTTGATATTTAGGTAGAGGTCAGTAATGGAGTGATTGAAAAGTAACTATTAACAACAAAACAAAATGTCCTTAGCAACTGCTTTGTTTTTAATAGTTACTTTGTTTTAATAAATTAATTTCGTTTTTGCCTTGAAAAGTCCACATTGGACGAAACGCGTCAGTTAATAATACAATTTTCCTATTGTCTTTTTCTACAGGTTAATTCTGAGAAATTTTCATATATATATATATATATATATATATATATATATGAAGAAATATAGTCTTAAGGTGTGCTATATTTATGGGATAAAGTGCTCAATATCTGAGATAGAGCGTGTGTAAATATAAAAGTGAACATAGAAGTCAACATTTAGAGGCGACAGTCTGTTTCATGCTATATGCAATCGTCAGGCCACGATTGCATATAGCATGAAACAGACTGTCGCCTTTAATGTTGACTTTTATGCTTACTTATATATATTTATATTTAGTCCCGATGAAAATAACATATAAATAGCAAAAATAAAAAGAATTCAAGATAAAATAAAGCAACTGCTTTTCTTTAAATCACTTACCATTTTTTTTTCTTTCTTTTTCTATACTTCTCTATCAACTAACGAGAGGGCAACCCTAAAATAAAAAGAAGAAAAGACTGAACCGGCCAAAAATCGCCAGAATTTTGCGGAACCAGAGCCTATTTATTTGTGATTGAAAACTATCAAGAATCACGTTATGGCGTGGAGCCTCCCTGATTTTGATAGTTTTCCGTTATAAAAAAAGAAATGAAAAAGAAAAGAACCTCGGAAAAAAAAAATTATTGGCAAATCAACAAAAAAAAAAACCCAAAAAAACAAACCAAAACAAGATACTTTTAATGTTCACCGAAACCAAGGTTCGTGCCAAAATCTCGGAGCCTGGTCAAAAGGATATAAGCTCACACCTCTGAGCTAGACGAGGAGATTGACCACTAGAGACGCGACTGCTACAAAAACCAACCATGCGTGTAGTTAAGGTCATTTGTTAATTATATATTGCGCACTTCTTAGGGCCGAGAAAAAACACTAGAATAACATTAACCTATTTCTAAGATGACTCCTATTACTATCAAGGTCTGACTTCGAAATTATCGACCCGAAACGGAAATTTTTCCAGACTTTTACCAATAACCGCCTTATAAACGAATGTTTTGCTACACCGAATACCAAAGGATTCGCTCCACTCATCACTCTAAAATAAATTTTAAAAAAATTATTTATTTAAACCATTGAGTATTTTACTTCTGAAGTTTTGATAAAATAATAACACAGAATAACCCGGCAAATATCCACACACACACACACACACATATATATATACATAAATGCGAATGCCATTGTGCCACACTTTTTCAACTTTACTCCTAGAGGCCGTAGCCTAACATATACTATTTTGGAATCAGGCAGATTCCAAATTGTCTTTAAATTAAGTGGACACATAAGAATTATCGTTGAACTTTTAAAAGGTGTGCTTAAATATTAATGCAATACTTAAATGCAGCTATCAATTTAGTAGTTTATTGTTATTTTTATAATAATAATTATTACTTCGAAGATTATCTTGATGTTAAGTTGAATTTCTTCAAGGAAAGTGCCATATATTTTGTTAATCCAAGTACTTTCGATCTCCTCCGAGATCATCCTCAGGAGTGAATTGCGAAAACAAACTTAATGTAACTGTAATCGTAATAGTGATTTTGCGGATGTGCTCTGCTATAATTATTTTAAAATTAACCGTTGTGGTTACAATGTAAGTACATATGTTAGCTTGACAACAACACCATTATCAATACGTCTTACTCTCCATTTGTCGGAGACAAGTTCTATCGCACATTTAAAGACATTCCTATCCATCTTCAAAATACAGGAAAACACTTGTTGACTAAACTAATATACTAAACCATGAAAATAATAATCTGTTCTAACTCACTCTCAGCGGTTATAATATTGTCTTGCTAAGGCTACTCGCCGTGACGTCATTAGATTTCTCTCTGATTGATTCTCTGACACACTTGGAGTTCTTTATTTAAGGCGTCTTGCCTAGTTCATTTGTGTTACCGGGGTTGTCTTATTTACTCCACAACATTCCCACTTTAAGATTTTTTTCACTAGTAAATATTTTATATTATTTCTTAGTATTCAACCCTCACTCCTTTTTCTGGTGAGTTCACCACGTACTGAATTTTGTATTTCTTTCGTTTTGGGTCAACCTCTAGTTTTTTCGTATGTTTATTTTTTCTGGTAATCATACTTGTACATTCAACAAATTCTTGGGGTTTTGGTACGTCAAAATCAAAAATATACATTACTTGCACAGGTTCTTCCTTTCTTGCAGGCCTTTCTTCAGTAAACCATTTCTTTAACCGAGTCCAATGCCTTTTGTTTCACCATTTTCCCCTTTCACCATATTTATCATTTTTCCAATTCATGACCTTATGATGTCGTCTTCCTACATTGCTTTTCCATTTTTTTTATACTCTGAAAAACACCCTTTCGACAACTTTGAAATATTTTGTCCTTTTTGTTATCCGTTCTGGTGTAATGGAATAACCTGTCACCCCTATGAGTGACTACACTATAGGTAGTAACTAACTATAAGTATCTGTAAATCAACGGACTACAGAGATCAGCTGGAATCTGTTCCAGCTGTGCTGGTCAAACTCTCTGCCTCCGGGCAGATAGGATCCCCAGACAAGGCTATGTCGAAGGGCAGTCTCGTCTCGGGAAACTGCTACCCGACCCCGTTTTATATGGGGTCTACGGGGAAGTTTTGGCCGAGCCTACGGGCCCGGATTACCCTACATTAAATTCGACCTTGTGTCACATCGTGGGGAGGCTGGTAAATATCGTCTAGCTGTGATCTATTGAGTACGACTCAGACTTACGCGAGAACTACCGACCTTCCAATAGTAGCACTCACTACTGGATTGACTTGCGACGACCTTGTGCATAATAAACCTTTACTTATTTTATCCACCTTCTTTTTCAAGTATATATTCTTATTAGCATGGAATATTAACACGTTCTCTTTCTTTTTTGATTTGGTAACAACTTGTGGAACACCGATTTAATTTTTCTTACTTACATCAATTCTGCCGGTGACATGCCTGTCGGTGTATTGGGATTCGGCGTTATCCGGTATACTCTCAAGAATTTTTGTAGTGCTTCTTCGCTCACATTTACGTTACTTGTTTTTTTCAAAACTCTCTTCAAAGTACCCATAATCCGTTCAGTTTGTCCTTTTGACTTTGGGTGATAAGGCGGGGGTAGTAATATATTCAATCGAAAACATTTTACAAAATTCTTTAAATTCGTAAGCAGTGAATTGTGTACCGTTATCCGAGACTGTCATCCGGAATGCCATATTTTGCTTTTACTTTTATTTTTTTCAGAGTAACTGGTAGTTCACGTACTACATTGCATAATATAATTTGACTTTTTAATGCTGCAATAATAGTGTCCTCAAACGGTTGAGTATTTTTGGTATCCATCTTGATAAACCATCAGCATGTCCTAATTTTTTGGACGGTTGGTATTCCATCCTGAAATCGTAATTTAATAAGATGGTACCCCAGTGTATGCGTAGGAATTCTTTTTTTCAAACCATAAATTGGTAATAGAGGTCGGGGGTCCGTCTGTAAACGAAAACTCCTTCCGTGTATAAATTTATGAAATTTTTTCACTGCGAATATTATTGCTAACGCCTCTTTTTTCGATCTGGCTGTAGTTTTTTTCTGCCTGTAGTAGCGAACGCGAAATATGTGCGACGGCTTTCATGTTACCGTCATCATATTCATGTATAATTACTGCTCCTATACCATAGTCACTAGCATCTGAAGCGAATACTATTTCTGCTTTTGGATCGTAGTGCACTAATGATAAGTCTGACGTTAGTATTTTCTTGGTTTCTTTAAACGCCTCCAGTTCAATTCCACTTTATACCTTTTTTAAGTAAATTTTTCAGTGGAGCTCTCAAATTCTGCATATTTGGTATGTAGACTCTCTCTCTCTCTTTTTATCGCTCTCTCTCTTTTCCGTTGTTTCTCTCCATCACGTTTCTGTTTTTCTCTCTCTCTCTCCCGTTGTCACTATTTCTCTCTTCTTACAGTTGTGTGTGTGTCTCTCTCACCAGTTGTCTCTCTTTCCCGATGTTTCTTCTTACCGTTGATCTTGTCTCTCTCTCTCCTGTTGTCTCCTCTTACCGTAGTCTCTGTCTCTCTTTTTTTTTACCTTTGTCGCTTCTTACCGTTGTCTCTCTCTCTCTCTCTCTGCCGTTGTCACTGTTTCCTCTCTCTCTTTTTACAGTTGTCACTCTCATCGTTGTTTCTGTCTTTCTCTCTCTTCCGTTGTCCTTCTTAACGTTGTCTCTGTCTCTCTCTCTCTCCCATTGTCTCTCTCTGCCGTTGTCTCTTCTTACCGTTGTTTCTGTTTCACACACACACACTCTCTCTCTCTCCCCTTGTCTCTCTCTCTCTCTCCCCTTGTCTCTCTCTCTCTCTCTCACCTTGTCTCTCTCTCTCTCTCTCTCTCTCTCTCTCTCCCTTCTCTCTCTCTCTCTCACCTTGTCTCCTCTCTCTTGTCGTCTCTCTCTCTCTCTCTCACCTTGTCTGTTTTTAACGTTGTCTATGCCGCTCTTGTTATTTTACTGTTATCTCTCTCCTGTTGTCTCTTTTTACGTTGTCTATGTCTCTCTCTTTTTACCTTTGTCTCTCTCTCTCCCGTTGTCTCTTCTTACTGTCGTCTCTCTCTTTTCCTTATATATATATATATATATGTGTGTGTGGGGGGTGTCTTGTCAATTGATGGTGTTGACAAGACACCAGAAATGTTGAAACAAAATGGCTATTTTTGTAGTGATGTTATAACATATTTATCTTATAATTTTTTTAATTAATACTTTTTGCTCAACTCGGTATTGGGCACTCTTTTAAGAATAGTGTTTTTGGTTATTGGAATTCTATTCCCTCTACACAAATCCTATAGGTTGAGATTATATATATATATCATTTTCATGAATATGACAATATATAGGTTCACCTTAATAGGATTAAGTAACGATGGGTGGTGGCGTTACAGTTAGAAAATTAAACAAGACGCGCCTGTTGCTAATCATTCTCAATTCTTAAGGTAGCAAAACGAATTGTTGCTTAGAGACGAAACTGAAGGTCACTGGAATGTATTTATTAATTTAACAAGAGTTATTGTGGCACTACCGTTTCTAAATGCTTGTGCGAACATAGTTCTCCACAGCTTCTTCGGTTCCAAGATAGAACTTTTGAAATAACTAATGCTTCCCAAATTCACCAATTTCTATATTTAGCAGGTGTGTGTTCTTCATTTGAACACAAATCCAGAAATATATACTATTGCGTACAGGTGATTGACGTTATTCGCCTGTTGTTGATAGCGCCATGAGCTGGAACCCGTGCACGATTTTGAGGCTGCCTTCTCTAGAATTATTTTATTGCAAGTGCTGTTCCATCAGAGTCGATTGGATCTGCCCAGTTAATTATTTGTGTAATAGTGAAAATTAGGGCAGGGCAGATAGAATGCTAAAAAATTGGTAGGGGTCACAGAAAAATAGAAAATTCGAACACTGATTTTAAAAAAAAAAATAAAAAAAAAATGAATCTCTCTCTCTCTTTCTCTCTCTTTCTTCCTCCCGCCACACGCTCCAAAAGTAATACTTCCTTGGCTAGAACAAGTTTTCAACAACAATACACTATTTTTTCCACTGGTGAAGCGTTTTATCAACTGTTTAACTGTGTTCACATCCACCATCTGGTTGCTCTAAAATTTTAATACAAACATCGATGAATGTCAATGGATGCGTTTTCCTCTATGGCAGATCTCTGGCTCATACGCATATACATGTCATAGTTTCGCTAGACAACCATACGACCAACATAATAAATTAAAACATTACTTTTAGAGTGAACTTTATATATATATATATATATATATATATATATATATATATTCCCCTCCCCTCTTGTACTCTTTTAAGATCTGGTTTTGAGAAATCATTTCTTCACGAATTTGATTTCCGATGATTTATTTATTTCTGAAGACGTGTTGGGCGAAAGACGCCTAAGGCTTATTTTATTCGATTTAGTAATTGATATTAAACTATTATCCCCATTTTAAAATTACTTATATACACACACGCACGGACTGTGGGAGATGAGTCATTTGGATACATGCGGTATATTTAGTTGACCTCCCCCCCCCAAAGTTTACTTAAAACGAATGAACATTTTGGCCAACCCAATATTTAATGTACGTCCAATGCATCAAATTTACTTCAAATTCAAATTTACGCAAATTATGTATTTTAGTGATAAAAAAACAAAATTATGTATTTTAGTGATAAAAAAAAAACAAAATTATGTATTTTAGTGATAAAAAAAAACAAAATTATGTATTTTAGTGATAAAAAAAAAAAATTATGTATTTTAGTGATTAAAAAAAAAAAAAAAAATTCAAGCCTACAATGTAGAATAAAATGTCAACAATACCAGAATAGTGATTTCATATTTTCACGGATTATGGCCATATCATGTTCTCGTACGACCACCGAAGTTAACAAACATCGAGCCTGGTCATAATAACCTAGGTGGGTGACCGCTTGGGAAAACCGATTTCCAATTCCAGTCTTGTTTGTTATATTCACTTACGTGAGGAAAGTTATGAATCCACATCTTCCATCCCCTCCGGCTATGGATTAATTAGTATAACTTATATCCGTAGATCAATATTTATTTTTTTATTATTAGATGATTTATTTACATGTGGCTCAGCACTTCAGTCTAGTTTCAATGTAATATCTGTGCATCCTGGAAAAATTCATGACTCATTTATATGGTTAATATACATTGATTTTCAGCTTATGTTTTTATTAGTAATTTCATTAACATTCACCCAAGAGGCGGCCCAAGAGCCACTCAACGGGGAGAGTTACAGAATGAGGTGTGTGATAGGGCGTGTAGATATGGTAGATAGATAACTATTAAAAAGATTCTTATTATTATAGTATTCTGGAAAGCATCCACGTGGGAGCCTATTCACACTCTAGTGGTTCTTGGTAAGAAACTCTGTCAAGGCTGAAAAGTGAGAATCTGCCAGCAGTACTTCATTTCTGTCTCTTGTAAAGAGAAAGCATGACAAGAGTCATGTACTTTCTTTTTTTAAGCAGCACAAGGTGCCAGCCATTTTTCTAGCATCTTGGAAAATGGACTATATATAATACTAGCAGTAGAGCCCGGTGTTGCAACAGTAAGAGATAGATCAAGTATCGACCATCATAAAGACTGAAAAATAAAATTGACAAAGATTATTGTTTAAGGTTGACGGACACGCATGTCTTAATTAGTTTTTTTTTTTTTTCTTTTTATGAATTGGTCAAACTCAAACAAAAACATTTTCAATCGTTATGACTCATGAGTCTACCGAGTGAATAGAATTTTTCAATTTTATTATAAACAATTGTCTTGTAAATGGAATTTTTAAAGCATTCTGGATGTAAAAATAAAGAAAAAAGTGTGCAAGACAATAAGAAGCACTACCTGCCAAAAAAAGTGAAGTTTTGTTGAAATCGGTTGAAAAATGTAGGAAATCTGATCCCATATACAAACACACACACACACACACACACACACACACACACACACAAAACCTGGGGGATTTTCATTCTCAAGACAGCGATGCCTCTTAATTGAGTTTTCAAAATGCAAAAACAAAGTATGATATATATATATATATATATATAAACAAACAGACACACAACCTGGGTTTTATAATGTTGATATATATATATATATAAGAAGTATAACAACTTAATTGTTCAAATCGAGTAAAAGCAGAATTGTCCATCTGTTAGATTAACTTTTCAACCGTTGTATCTTAGAAATGATTAAAGATATCTTACTGGAATTCTCCGATGCTTTTTAAAACACTATTGGACTCTACTTTGAGCAATAAGAATGTATAATTAATCTTCAAGCTTAATAGAAGAATTGTGATGAAATTACATGTTCATCAATAATTAATCATAGCTAAGGATCGGAAGCTCATGAAGGATTGAAATTAAGTTTTTATATATATATATATATATATATGGGTCATTTTGCAACTCATTAAACTTGATCTTCGCCCTTTTTAACTTTCTGTCCTGATCATAACAATGTGCCTCACGGGTTTCACGTGCAATTTCATTTCCTAGTCTTTTTTCACTGCTCTTTGAACTGACATAGCTGAAACTCCTCTCTGACGTACCAAACGTCTTACGGATTGAGTTGGATCTTTTCTAATTGATCTCTTTAGCTCTAAGTTGAAATGATGATCTCTCTTCCTGTTGTGACCTCCTGATCCAGTTTTCCTTTCTACCGTTTCCTCTTTTTTTTTTTTTTAAACTTATTCACCGTTCTCTTGATAGTTCTTGAATAGACTTTGAAGATGGAAGCCAGTGTGTGAATTTTGGTACCATTGCTGAAAGCCTGAATGATCTTTTTCCTCTCACCATTTATCAGTTAAGAGGACATAGTGGGCCTGATATAAAATGATTTTAACCTGTTCTTTACTTAATTAAATAACTCAAAAGGGTTTTCAGCGATTCTTACGACAAATGGTGTCAAGATGGGTAAACGTCTTATCTGAAAATTTGGGGAAAGGAAACTCGATTAGTTTAGGGGTTTTTAGATATTAAACATTTTGTGGGATGGACAATTACCCCATCCTGTTACACGATTTGAACAATTTTGCTGTTACACCCGGTACATATGTTCCATTTAAGATTTGGGGTGAACCTGAGTCCCAATAAAAATTTGAAAGATTCATCGTGACTAGAGTAAATTATGTCTGCTCAAGCATATTTCTTCTTTATGTTCTGGGTACTCTCAGGGCGTAGGTAATCATAGCTCTCCACGATTTCCTGTACTTTGTAGCTCTTAATAAATTTTGTCTTTTTGTTACTTCTCTTAAACCCTGTTCCACCATCCATTTACTTAACCTCATCAAGGATGTTATGTGTTGTTTTCCTCTTGTCCTCAATCTGACTTGTGAGTATCAGATTTCCAAGCCCCCCTTCCTCATTATGTGCCCCAGAAATTTCAACTGTCTCTTCCTGGTATTAAGTATGTTTCTTTTCTGCTTCCATTTTCTCTAAAACCTTGTTTCTCACATGTTTGGTCCATATTATCCTCAGCATCCTTCTGTAAAACAACATTTCTGTTGCTTCAGGTCTATTCTACATCTTTGAAGAGATTGTCCAGCAGTCACTGCCATATAGGAGGAGAAATATCACATAACAGTTCAGCACTCGTTTCCTTGTTTCTAACAGTTTTTCTCTTTCTTAGTAGTCTGCTTAGCTTTTGGAAGGCATCTTTTGCTATCCCTATGCACCTTCAGATTTTTGTGTCACACTTTTCGTTTGGTACATTGAGATTTTATTATGCATTATGTTGTTCAACATATTTAAATAAATATTTTAATTTCAAATATGTAATCATTGACAACTTTCACAATATGACAATATATATGCTCCTGGTAAATCTGGTTGAGCTCTGTGTAATTTTAAAAACAGTGGCTCCTACTGATATTAACACATTGCTCTTCAACTGAATTGATGTATTTCGCATAGAGAATGTTAAAATTTCCCTATTTCTCAGCCATAGGGGTAGGATCTCTGACCGATGCCAAATCGGTCAGGTTTCAATCCCGCTTGAAGCAATTGGACATCTAGCCACACTGAAGAGCTATGAAAACTGTGTGTGTGTGTGTGTGTGTGTATATATATATATATATATATATATATATATATATAAGAATGTAATGAGAGCAAAAATAATATAGAAACTCTAACGTCCACAACATTAATTCAAAAGAGGGCTCAGTACCGATAGTAGAGCAATAATTATTTATTATAAACTTGGATAACTTATGTATTCAACAATAAGAATCTCTACCTCTTAATTTATTAATTTACAAAACACTTTCATTGATTACAAAACTAATAGTGATAACTACAACCTAAATGTATGCAATTCAGCTCTGTTTTTTTTGTTTTTTTTAATAATCAAAAAACCATTCTCAATTACTACTATAACTATTGTTTTAATTTAACCTTCCTTCCTCTTTCATCATGTAAATATCTCCTATTCTCACCTTTCCTCCCCCACCTGTCACTCTTAGAAGGCTTGGAAAAGATGTGCCTGAACGCTTGACCGTTGTTGTTGAAAAGAAATTTTTCAGATCTAGTCATTACTTTAACATCTCAACCATCTTTTACCAAACTGCTGTCAACAACCATTATTGCTTCACTCCATCACCTTTATGCCTTTATGTATTTTCTGTATTTTTTATTTTCTTCCTTTTTTTTTTTTTCTTCAAACAAATGGAAAAAAGGAAGTAATGTTTCATATGCGGCTTGCTTACAAACAGAATTGTAACCATTTTGGTTCTCACCAGTCGATATGCAATTTTAAATACACTGAAACGAAGTTTTGCATCTTTGTAGTGAGTAAATTGTTTTTGTCTATCTGAAAAAATTATAATAAATAATATATAGTATATTTGGCAGCAGATCATTATTTAAACATATATATAAGCCAAAAGCTTAGATCAAGGACCAGCTTAATAAAAAATATCCAAATATTGGACAATTTTTTCTTTTATTTTCATTCAAAATTAAAGAAAACATACAAAGTTTAGAATGGCTCATGATCAGACATAAGACATTCATTGTCTGTTATATTTAACAATACATATATAAACCACAAAAGATACATAAAATATTGTAAAGTTATTAGCTCTTGACTTACATCTCCAGACAATCAGCCTAATGAGCCATAATAACAAACATGTAGCAGAATTAAACCAGAAATAGGATAAGAACAGTGTGGGTTCATTAAAGACACTGGAACAAAGAATGTAATATTTATGTTCAGAATGATATCAGAAAAAACAATACAAATTCAGAAGAAGATTTACATGTTTTATAAATGATGCAAAAGAATTTGATAAAGTACATCACAAAGAACTGTTGGAACTGTTACGT